TTTCTGATAGAGTGGTTGGTATGAGACCTCTTCAGATTGGAGTCTGGAGGTGAAGGCTCTGTTTTTCAGTGCTTGAATTCATTCACTCCTCAAAGTTCCTCTTAATATGGATGAGACCAATGGAATTTGCCTCTCGACGAATATACTTAATCATCAAATGTGTTTTAAAGGGTAATTGGAGTTTAGGTAAGGATTATGCAGTGTGAAGTTACCTAGCCTTTAATGATAGTAGAACATTTGAGAAGATAGGAACATTGCCATCTTTTTCTTTTTTCTTTTCTTTCTTTCTTTTTTTTTTTTTTTGAGTTGGTGTCTTACTCTGTCGCCCAGGCTGGAGTGCAGTGGCACAATCTTGGCTCACCGCAACCTCTGCCTCCCAGATTCAAGTGATTCTCGCGCCTCAGCCTCCCGAGTAGCTGGGATTACAGGCGCCCGCCACCATGCCTGGCTAATTTTTGTATTTTTAGTAGAGATGGGGGTTTCACCATGTTGGCCAGGCTGGTTTCGATCTCCTGACCTCAAGTGATCCACCTGCCTCGGCCTCCCAAAGTGCTGGGATTACAGGTGTGAGCCACTGCACCCGGCCAGATCTTTTTCTTTTGGGATTTAAAAGCTTCCTTTTGAATGCTGTTCCTTCTGCCTGTAGGCTCCTCTCTATGGGCCAGAGACAGATTTCATTCTAGTGCGATGGTATTTCAAGTGCGAGGTGGCAATTTTGACTTGGTTGGAAACATAAAGGAGAGTTGAAAATCAAGCCATTTTCTTCAGCTTGGACCTCTATTAAGAATAGTTTGAGTTTTCTTAAAAAAAGAAACATACATTTTTTGCAAAATTTAAAGACTAAAATTGAACCAGAAACTAAGAAGGTTGCTCTACCAAAGGGGATGTCAGTTGTGGTTATTTGAACCATTCAAGCTACGTGAAGTGATGTTGATTGGAAGAAAAATTTTAATTCTGAGTCATGCTATGTCTGCTAACCCTTAAAAGCATAGAGGCGAAATAACTTAGGCTGTTTCTTTGAAAACAAAATATTTTGATAGAAATTTGATGAGTTAGTAGAAACAGTAGGAGTCCCTCTCTTTAAGTATATATATAAAATCACTGTGGAAAGGGGATCCTGCTGCTATTGTACTGTGGGCAGATAACTGAAGAAAATTCAAAGTTCCTCATCTGTAGAATAGGCTAGTGATCTGCTTTGTTGCCCTCATAAGGTTTTTTAGGATCTGTTGAGAAAATAGATGTGAATAGTATTTGGGGGCTTTTTATCACTAATTGTCTTATAAACACATTAATGTTTACATGGTGCTGTATAAATAAAGCTAGCAATGAGTCTTTAATCTCTGCCATCTGGCATTTTATGTTTATTTTATCCCTGGATGGGATACTGTGCCCAAGAAATGTAGATAATGGGACAAGAGAGTAACATTCATAAATGGATGCTAGGTATGTATATTTAATACTGACCAAGTAATTTACTGGTATATTTTAAGAATGGATGATACAAGGGAAAAAAAGACCCTGTTAAATATTAAATTCGGAATTTCTCTGTGCACAAGTTAGGTGTTTGAGTGACCCAACATCAGGTGGGTCCAGAGTGATCCAGTAATCCAGAGTTAGGTGAAGGAACATGATTTATTGCTCATTTTCAATGAGCAGGCTGGATGAAGCAGCCCTTAAGAAACCTTATAGAGGCCAAAATGGGATGATATAATAGATGTCTAGCCCCAGGCATCAGTGAGTAATGCCTTTTCCTGAGTCCTTAAGTTCCCAGCATAATGCAGTCCGTTTATGGTTACACGCAGTTTCATTTTCTCTTTAAATACTCTTCAGGTGGTATGAAGGAGGGTCGTGTGTTGTAGCTAAAGAGATGCCAGGAGAGGTGTGGTAAGGGCCTCCCTTGTGATTTGGGCCACCCAGCTTGGGCAGGCCTACGCTTGTAGCCCACCCTGAGAGGAGTCAGTATATTCCCTCTTGGGTAGTATTGAATAAATCACAGGCAAACTTTTGTCCTTTAAAAAACTCTTGGTGTAGCTTCCTTAGCACACTATTATATGCATATTAACATTCAGTACATTGAATCCCAGCTTCAGTTTTTCTCCCAAGACTATTTTGCTGGCCATTTTGGTTCCTTTACACAAAGGTGACCCATCTCAGCAGGTGGATGATTACTATTAGTTTCAAATTTAGAAGTTTGCTTTTTTTTTTTTTTGGAGACGGTGTTGTTCTGTCACCCAGGCTGGAGTACAGCAACCTGATCTCAGCTCACTGCAGCCTCTACCGTCCAGGTTCAAGCGATTCTCCTGCCTCAGCCTCCTGAGTAGCTGAGATTACAGGTGCATACCACCACGCCTGGCTAAATGTTGTATTTTTAGTAGATTTGGGGTTTCACCACGTTAGTCAGGCTGGTCTTGAACTCCCGACCTCAGGTGATCCACCTGCCTTGGCCTCCCAAAGTTCTGGGATTACAGACGTGAGCCACTGCACCCGACCCTTTTTTTAAAAAATAGAGAAATACGTTATTTTAGGACTCCATTCCTTCCCATTGCATTGACCATTCCTTTCAAAAATTAGAAATGGGCCTACATTGACTACACTTGAGACAATTGCAGTCGACGAGGAGAAGGGAGCAAGAGAATCAGCATGGGCCTTTGTTGGAGTGGTATGAGGACGCATCCCTGCCGAGAGCCCACTGTGTGCTGGGTGCCAGGGCCAGGACTAGGGCCTTACGGACTCTGCACTTGATCTGCCAGCTGCCTGACTCTAGAGCAGGGATGAGGCACCTGAACACAGCGGGTCGGAAACTCCTAGAACTTAAGTTTAACTTCCCTGAGGAAATACGGTGATGGGGTGATGGACAAGGAAAGACACTCAAGGCTGTCTGGGTCCCAGATTCGTTTTTCCTGGTACAGTGTCTTGTTTGAAAGGAGGGAGGCAGAATTCTTAGATGATTTTCTGATTTAAATTTAAAATGGACCTAATTTGGAGACCTACTGTGTGATAATGAAGACTGGTGCTGTCACATGGTCTGGCCTCATCACAAAAATAATTGTTAGTTGCTGATACTCTGTTCCCTTAGTAAGGGAGACTCATGTTTTATGTAAAGCAGATGCTGAGTGAATTCACATTTCTCAGCTGTTATGCCACTTTCTAAGTCTTGAGGATACACACTTGTGGTCTTGAGTTCAGGCATAGAAGAAAGCATAGACCATTTTCTGCTCCTCCTTATGGCTTTATTTATGTTAACGTTTATTAGAAAAAAGAAAGGTACTACTCTGTAAATGTCTGAGGAGGCTTTTTCATAGACCTGTGGATTTTCTTGATTTGTAGAGATCTTAGGTGTTAATCATATCAGATACTCAGAAGACCCTTCCATCCCTAACGTTTTGCTAACACATTCCCAATGCAGCATACTTATGCTCTTGAAAAGAGGGAAAGCCAGGACAGTGCGTTTGACATTTTCCCTCATCATTTGGTTTCTGTCAGCGAGAAATATGCTTTAGTAATTTGGAAATAAACTCACTGCAGGGGGTGAATAACAGGTTTGAAGGTTGATTAGTTGCTAAGGAGATGATCTTTGTGTGCTTATGTGGAAAGTATGAGAGGATCACTTAATACTACATCCTCTGAAGTTCTGCTCTTTCTCCTTGGGTTCAAGAAAACCATCATTTGGTTTCAGGTTGTGTTGACAGTCACAGTCAACTGTAGGAACTATCATTAATTTAGGGAAACAAGGTTCCAGGGTTGTGCTTGACCTCTGACCATGTGCCACATAATGTTCTTTGTGCTCCATTTGTTGTACACAGCAGCCGTATGAAGTGGGTACCACTGTGATCTCACTTACACAGATAGGAGCCTGAGGCACACCAAGCAGTGTCTTGCCCAGGTGCAGTTACTCAGTGTCATAGTTGTAATACAGTGTCATTTTCACAGAATTGCTTGGTCCAAGTTGTAACTTGAGTTCCTGCACACACTCTCCTTCTCAGATGTGAAGTTTTAAAGTTCACAACTCTTTAAATCATGAGAATACAAGGGAGACAGGCTGTTGGAAAATACAGGGATGTTCTTTCTGTTTTACATCTGTTGCAGAAGGACTATTTCTCACAAAGTCCTTAAGTAGATCGTGCTCAGCATATCTGGATGCTCTTTGCTACTGGCCTGAGAAATGACCAGCAGGGCATTGCAAAGAGTGAGTAGAGAGTAACAAGACTGACAGTAATTCAACCCAGTACTCCTCATCTGGGTGAAAGGAGAATGATACCAAGTATGACTGATATCTAGTGATACAAATGGATTACAGAATTTTAGATTCTAGGTGAGGCATTATAATACACCTGTAAGAAACCTATCTCCCTCCTACCCCCCAATTTCTTTATACACTTAAAAAAAAAAAAAATCCCAGAATTGTAAAGAAGTATGTAAAGAAATTGGTGGGAGGAGGGAAAGAATTTTAAAAAGTGAATTTGTTTGATAGTTTCCTCATGTTATGCTTTAGCTTGTTTCTTTCTTGCAGTCCCCACATTGGGACTGCAGGAGAGCTTCAAAGAAGACTTTCAGTATAATTCTTGTGAAATAAAGTAATGGGTATTGGGAATACACAGGGAAAAATTACAGTTTTCCATTTTTGACGATAAAATGTCTAGAGGGTTTTTTGGGGGTCATTTTTTTTTTCCTGTAGCAAGTTAAGAAGGAAAGGATGGCCAGTGTGATTTCTAGAAAAAAAAAGTTTCTTCTAGATAGTGTTATGTAAATTAAACCTGTGAAGGAAATAAGTAATTGATGCTTTATCAAAAACTCATTTGTTCAAGGAATTGTCTTGCTTAAGTGTGGTTCATTATAAACTATATTGTTATATTGGAGAGCACAGGACTATTTTGTCATCACTGTTGGTTAGTAAGAGATAAGTATAGATGAAATACGATTTGTTGGAAACTTCAGCCATTTTGTTCTAATGATTGTGCAAAAACATTGGTGCTCATTGATCTTTTTTTTCTGTTTTTCAGGGTCGACATGTTAAAACGGGTCAGTTGGCAGCCATCAAAGTTATGGATGTCACTGAGGTAAGATTGAGTCACACACCTTTTTAAATAAATTGTTAGATGGAAGACAAAGATTCCCCCAACAACATAGAGCATTTACTCTGTTTGGAAAATCTGATCACTTGAGCACATTGCCCTCCTGTGACATTGTGGGTTCATAGGTCCAGTGGATTAGTTGGCCTAAATTGTAGTACACGGTCTCCAAGTAACTAAAAGGCAGTAGCATTTTCTCAAAACACACGCAGTGCACACACACATCTGAGTGATGTCATCCTTGGCAACGTAATGGGCCATAATTGGAAACATCTTCTCTAATGGAAAAGAAAAAATTTGAAAAGGGATCATGGAGGTCACATGAATAGGGAGATTGAGGGTTTCGAGTGGAGGAAAGCTTCTCTAGGGTATTAGGCCACATTTGTGCCATTTCTTTTATTTTTAACATGGGGGAGGAAAACAGACCCAGCCAAGTTCCCAGAGGTTGGAAAACAGAAACATCTGCTAGAATGCTGAGCAGATTGTTGGCAAAATTTAGTAGCAAAAAATAGTTCTTGAAATGGTCGCATGAGGATTTACTGTGCAGCTTTAGATGGGAAAGAGGAGAACGTGACCGAGACAACAAGTAAGTGTACGTGTGCCCATATGTGTGCTTGTAATATAAGCATGAGCCCATATTTAAATTCTTTAAAAATAGTAATAGATTATAATGAACTAAATCCATTTCATTTTAAAGTATTTTTATCTGAAATTTTGCTTCATGCTTATGTTTACCTCTAACTTGCCTAATTATGAGTAGGATTCAACATCATATTTCACAGATTCTAGAAAGAGTTCACCAGTAGCATTGGAGATTTGGGATAACTTTAAATCCAGCCATACTTTCCCCAAGTCTGGGGTCAGTCGAGGGAGATAATGGCTAACCAATCTGCAGTGTGCTATCTAGAGAGTGAAATCTCCTTCTTTGCCTTGCTCTCTGCTTGGTCTCTGACAACATGGTCATCTTCAGAATGGGTATTTGTCAGTAAGAATTGGAAAACACTGTTGTCCCTGGACCACAAGACAACTGATAGAGCCTTTCATAAATATTTGAAGATGTGACATTTTATGAGGTGACCACTCTCTTTTCTCTGTTAAAGAGAATAATGGATACTTTAAAATGAAAATGTACCATTGCTTAGTTGAATGGCCAAAAGATTCTCCTTGACATACTCTGATGTAGACTATTCTGTTGTATTACAGTGATCCTATCTTGGTGTACAGCTCAGTGGGAAATTGGATGCTTTCCAGTTAAATATTTTTTAAAGATGTTTTTAAAGAGTGGCGAAGGAACCGTAACTTCTTGCTTATTTTATTTTGAATACAGTAGTTGAGCTATTTATGAAGGACCTTCTCTGTGAATGGAATGACCAATACCACCTTCCTACCAAAGTCTCCATTCAGAATGCTGTGCATCTTGCCAGTGCTGTGTTGGGAGTGGTGTTGCTGGAAAATATGGTCTTTCCATTATTTATTAACACACTTTTTGACTTGTTTACTGGCAGACTTGTAGGTACAATTTTAAATGTAATCTTTTGGAATTTTATGAACTGAGACTTCACCCTTGCAGTGTCATGCAACCTGTGCTGCTTCCCCTGACACTGCTGTTGTGGCTGGTCAGGATATGTCCTCTTTCACATCTCCAATGGAATCTACATGGGGTTTGCTTTCTCTGTAGGGATCTTCTTCACCTAATCCTGGCTGTGATTATAAGTGTGCAATACATGATCACTGTAAAAAAAAAAGTATAAAGTATAGGAAAATATAAAGAAAAAGTTAAATCCTTATACTTCTGCCACATTATTATTATTATTATTATTATTTTTTTTGAAATGGAGTCTCCCTCTGTCACCCAGGCTGGAGTGCAGTGGTACGATCTCTGCTCCTTGCAACCTCTACCTCCTGGGTTCAAGCAGTTCTCCTGCCTCGGCCTCCATAGTAGCTGGGATTACAGACTCCCACCACCATGTCCAGCTAATTTTTGTATTTTAGTAAGATGGGGTTTCACCGTGTTGGCCAGACTGGTCTTGAACTCCTGACCTCAAGCAATCTACTGGCCTCGGCCTCCCAAAGTGCAGGGATTACAGGTGTGAGCCAGCGCCCCTGGCCCTCTGCTACCTTATAATAGTTCTTGTTACTGCTTTGGTGTATTTCCTTTCAATCATGTCTCTGTGAACATAACTATAAAATACATACTCATATGTAATGGATGCTTTTGTATCCCACTTGTTGAGTGGGATACAGCGGTATTTTCTTGCCTGAAAAATCAGGCAATGTTGGACACATGCATAATGTAAGTATTTTTGGGACTCCTTTAAAAGTAATTATTGCAAAACCCATGTATTCAGGTAAAATGAAAACCAGATGGCGAGTCCTCAAATAAGTATTATACAAACCCAATCAACCATTTACCATATTGTCCACTCAGTAATGTTTCTTGTGTGCTGTTTTCATGCAGTGACCTTTTCTATAGCATGGAGCACAGTCATTGCCCATATAAGTGTTGTTTATGGATAGAGGGCCATGTATAGCAGTCAGCCTGGAAAACATGCCCTTGCCAAGCCTGCATGTCAAAGCTCCTCTTGTGTAGTTGTAGGCACTGGCCTGGCTGGGACCTGGGAGCAAGTGGGGAGCAGGCTGAGTGAGAGAGATTTTGCAGCATGTGCTTCTGGTTCCAGCTCCAGCAGGAGGGGCTGTTGGAGCGGGTTCTCTTGATGAGAACAGGACTCTTCATGGTTTTTTACCTCCACTTAGTTTCATCTCAGGAGCAAAAAAGTGCAAATACCTGTTTTTGGGAAAAATCACAGATTTGTTCTGACTCTTTAGATGAAAGTGAGAGGCAGTTACCAGGCTACTAGTTACTCCTCAGGCCCAGAAGGCAAGAATTGCAGCAGGTGTGGGAAGTTGAATGGTGTGGCTACGTTTCTCCTGAGCTGTCAGCTGTTGGCAGGCTGAATGAATCTAGCTCTGGAGCTGGCTGCAGACAGTGCAAAGATGGGGGCCCACTTCACTGGCTTTACTTGATTGTGTGAATCTGGAAAACAAGACCAGCTGAGAATTCAGATTTCATCCTGGGGTGAGGTGACAAGGGACTATGGAGGAAACCAAGGGGCCTGGAAGTGGGGAGGCATTTATTTGCAAGAGATGTCAAGTTCTTTTCAAATTTGGTGTGTGAGTACTTTAGCTGTATTAAGAATTGACTATCCTTAGGATTTTGAAAGGCTCTTTTTAAGGAAAGCATGTCTTTTATCTGATTGGTTTTGGGAAGGGCTTAAGGAACAGATTAAGGATGTGCTCAAAGTGGATGATATTAGGACAGCAGATCTGTAATGTGTTTTTTTGTTGTTGTTTGTTTGTTTTAAATAATGATAGATTCAGAGGATTTGCAGAAAATTGTATAGGGAGGTCTCATGTACCCTTCATTCAGTTTTCCCGTGATGAAATCTTGCATAACTGTAATACAGTATTATAGCTTAAGTACACATACAAAATAAAGCATGGTAAATGATTGCTTTTACCAGTGATTCTCAACCTGGAGTTCATAAACTCTTTGAGTGAGGTTTGTCTCTGAGAACAGAATTTTATTTTGCATTTTAATAGTGTCCCCCAACTTTTTATTATGAAAAAGTTCATATATCCAGAACTGTTGAAAGAATGAACACTCTCAACTCTTCACTTATATTCAACATTTGTTAACATTTTGTTCATGTGTGTGTGTATTGTTTTTGAAAATAATTACAGCTATCACTGTGATGCTTCACCTGAAATTACTTGAGCGTGCTTGTCTTAAAGACAGTCTTCTGCATATCATAAAATTGCATCTAATGTTCAATCTACATTCATATATCTTTGATTGTGCCAAGAATGTTTTTATAACTCTTTTTGAATCATAGTCCAGGTTTATGCACTATACTTAGTTATCTTATCGCTTAACTTATTTTTAGGCTAGTAAGTTACTCTTTGCCTTCCTGCCTCCATTTTTATTTTTTTTATAAAAGAAAATTGACTTTTGTAAGAATTCAACCAAATTGTTTTGTAAAATATCTTCTATTCTGGATTTGATAGTTTCCTTATGTTACGCTTTAACTTGTTCCTTTCTCTCCTGTATTTCCTGTAAACTGGAATTATGTTGAGAGGTTTGATTAGATGCAGATTAAATATTTTTTGGCAAGAACACCTCAGTGGTGGTATTGGGTACTTCATATTGCCTCAGGTCAGGGGGTACGTTGTTCTAGGTGAAGCCTGCTTCACTCATAGCCTTCCCATTGTTAGTGAAGCCAAGTTGGGTCGCTGGATTAAAGAGGTGACTGCCAGCGTTCACCACCACAAGGGTGCATTATTAGTTTTGCATTCCCCAAATAATCTGTCTCCAGGGTGATACTTTGGCACTGTGTGAATATTCTGTTCATGAGTAACCTTTCAGCAATGGCTTTGGCATTCATTTAATGATTCTTGCTTAGGTTAGTTATTATTGCAAAATGATGATTTTACGTTCTTCCTTCTGTGTTTATTAGTCAACAACAGTCTATAGAAGAGTTTCCTAACTACCCCTGCCCTTCTCTCTCTGTCTGGATATTGCTGTGGACATGAGTGGTTTTGTTTAATGTGTTTCCATCAATTACAGCTGTTATTACATAATCAAGTTGTACCATATTTGGCAGTGAGAGCCTTTGACATGACCCCAGTGGGCCCCCAGTGGAGTCTGTAGCCTTTCGGCATGCCCCTATTAGTTTTTGAGTACCTCTTTGTTTTTCTGGGAAAGGTAGATATTTGAAACTCACCTACCAAGACATGGAATCCTCTCCTCTGAGGAGCCTTAGTTCAGTTGAGTGGGGAATGTATTTAGAGACTAATATCTGGATGCTAAGTATACTCATTGCTACTGAGGTATTACTGCTTCTAGGCCCTTTGAGTAGACAGAGCTAAGAAATGCATTTTTCTTTTTCAAAAACCAGAGTTTTTTTCTTAATTTCTTCTATCTTGTATAT